TGTAGCAAGAAAAACAAAGGTTTAGGTATATTGAAATGTATATTGCATTTCTGAGTTTAATTAATTAAACAGTCTCATTTGCAGTGACTGTTTATTGTTTTGTGTTAATACTCTTGTAGCAGGCGATATGAATAATGGTCTTGTTGAGTCGTTTTCTAGTTACGTTTCCGAGAACCTCCCTTTTATATGAGCCTTCCAAGAAATTCTTCCAGGCTTTCATTTGCAAATAATTGATTTTCTCTCAAAGCAGGATTCAGGATGCCGTAGTTTGATAATTAATGGCGTTAAATATGTAATATTTTGTGGATCAATAAAACATTTCCTGGTATTTGATTGAACAATTGGGCAAATGGTTGTGGCTCAAACAAAGCATTATTAGGGATTTGAATTGTTTTTGATAATTTTTGCTCCGTACAAACACGGTGCTGGGAGCCCCAGCCATGGACACCAACAACACCAAGAGTTACACCAGCTTGTATTTTGTGGCTTGTTAGGGATTTTGGGATCGGGAAACAGAGGGATAAAGAATGCCTCCAGTAACCTTACTCACGAGGCGAAACTCAACGCACACTTACTTTACGCCGGTATTCTATGACACTGTGGTGACCTCTCATTTGCGTCGAGGCAAGACTGTAACACTTAAACATGAAATGAATGTAAAGTGGATGTAACGTTAGTTTTTTGCAAACCCTTTCCTTAATAAAAATGCCTAAAGCAATGTTATAAGTCAAAACGAATCGGTTGACCACAACCATCAGTCGAGAAAAAAGTAGTTACAAAAATTTACGGTAACAACGAAAATAGATTTTCATTCATCCAGCTACTAATACGTTCGTGACCTTATAGGTAGTATTCTATAAGTATTCCATAATCCGAAATTCAAGGTAATCCTCTGCAACCTTGGAATAAGCTAATAACCTGGATGATGTAACTTAACAGGATATGTAAGTCGTAATAGTTAGACCCTGTTATTCAGATACGGCTCTATTTCTTAGATTAAATTTCCGGGAAACAGAAAGTTTTTAATCAACTTCAGAATAATAATAGTTCGAGAAATAGAATTGGGTAGTTTCCTAGGTCAAAAATAAATTAATTTGACGTTTTAATATGATAAAATATTGAAAAATAACTATACTTTTATTCATCGATCGATCGATACACTAAGTTTAAGATATTTTTTAGCTAATTTTTTAAAAATAAGTTAGCTATTTGACGCAAAAATGCTATGACGTCATAATTCAATGTTTCATACAACTTTCATAGAAAAGTATCGTTTTTGACATTTGGATAAAAGTATTGAATTTGACTAGTTGGAAACAACCGTATTCACGTCTGATATATGCAATTAATATTTACACACAGAGCGATGCATATTTATTAAGTATATTTAATGTATCCACAGCTCTCAATTTCGCCAGTTATAAGCAGTTTGTAAATTACTACTCAAAAATGGTCGATCGCCTTTTTTGTTTTGATTTATTGAGTGACTTTTTTGACTCTCCTGCTGCCCTGGGTGAGGCAGGGTGTGTCAGATTCTAAAAACCATCTTATCTCAATTCCTACTCCAGGTCATGCTGCAGTATGCTATTGCGCTTAACCTGCAACCCCGGGTAGCACCACGGCTCTACTGTGCGGGTTCCATCCTTTATGATTTCGCGTTACGTGATACAAACAGTTTTGAAAATCACCAAAAATGTAAATGGTACTTATTCCAAAAAACAATTTTATTTCTAATAACAAAACACGCGTTTAAAAGTTTAACTTTGTAAGTTTTAATTGCTTTCTGATCATAACATTCAAAATTCTCAAAAACAAAGCGTTCACGAGTCACGTGTTGTCAATGAATATGATATTAAAACAATATTCAACCAACCGAAATCAACTACAGTCACGTCACAAGTACTTGTTTTGATAAATTTCAAATTTATTTTAGCTAATTGATTCCTTTTTTCTAACTCGTAGAGGTTGTTTTTGCACGCGACTGTTTCATAAGATGTTTATTTTTATTGAAAATAATTGTTACACTTTTTTTATTTTGGAAATCATTGGCGTGACGAATTATTGTAGATATAGGTATACACACACACATAGAAAATGTGTACAGCCTTATACATATAATCAGTTGGCACTGACAACAAGATCTTAAAGTCGTAAACGAATGCAGTTGAACACAATTATGGGCCCGGACATAGCTTGAAACTAATCGAATGACGTCGTCGACGTGAATGAATAGTTTTAATCTTCATTATTTTAAAATCCTGCTAAAGCAATATTAGTCTCACCAAATAGTACTTATAAAAACACTAATAATTCAAAGAACCTTTTGTTCAGGAAACCCTGAACCCATGTTACATACAATTTACCATATCAATGTTTGCCGTACGTTTCCTTGACAAACGTGATGCGGTCACCGCGGGCGTGTCAAGGATGCGTCGTTCTAATTGCTACTTTAAACCTTCGGCTGCAAGGATTAATATTATGTTAGTTGTTTAACTGCCTAAGAATTTATTCAATGCAGTAAGTTTTGAAATATATGGCTGCAGTTTCGAGACTAATTGTTGTACTTGAGGTCAATTTTGTGCATAGTGGATACTCTTAGGTGACCATGACCAGCATGCATGTATTAATGCTTCAAGACCTTACAATATAACAGAATAGTAGTAAAAGTAACGATGATGATACACATTATCATTGAGCTACAAACTAAGTACAGCATCATCTTGCAGCTCTGATGATCAGAAACATTACTTTCAATGGGGTATTTTTGTGGTATTTCTCTAGTTACACAGTTAATTTTTATAATTTATTGGCAGTTTATCTAATACCTAAGTATAGATGAGTTTGCGGACTATGGTACCTACCGTGGCCTCGGCCTGGAAAAGGAGAAGGATCGGGGTTTGCTCAGTAAGGGTCTGACACTTCCTCTCGCTATACCCTAGGCGTCAGAAGGAACATTATTAATTTCCGTGCTCAAAAAAAGAAATGTATATTAACAAAAAAATATCCTAAACTATCAAATTCAATGTAAAAGGATTAAGAGCACTTCCCTTAATGAAGACGAACTATCTAGCCAAACTAAAGTTCCCAATTAGAGTTTAATAATTACTTTCTGGAAGGAAAATCCTTTGTAAATCTGATATTTTGATACTTTTAGGCGGTTTTAGGCAAACTTTTTTAGTAGCAAATCCCACGCAGCGGTAAAAGAACATTAAATTGATGGATTGTCATAGAACATAACAGTTTAAATTAAAGACATAAAAAAAAACAGTCGGGTAGACCACGCCTTGAAGATTTAATCAAATAAATTCATTTTAAGTAATCGAATACTCGCATCGAATAAGGAAAAAGATTGCCAACCTCTGATAGCTATGAGTTATAACCTAGCAAATACTTTGAATTATATTAAAGCAACAATAAATCATAAAAGATTGCGAATAAATTAATGCCCTTTTACGGAACTACGTCAGTATTGCAGAGACCTTGGACCTTCCGGGGCGGAAGCTTATTGCCCTGGCTACGGCACCATCAAGGAGACCCAACCATTGGGGAGTTTTATGGTCAATAAAAAACGTGCAGAAATTACCACACACTTCCGTATTACTTTTGTCATGTCATTATTTTTGAATGGCTTTTGTTTTTTATGACTTTTAGGGTGATTGTTGCTTGTAAGTAGTTTTAGATTGGTATATATGTCTATAATTAATAGGGATGGGTATAGGAGTCGTCAAGGATCATCATTATCAGCCTATAAGTGCCCACTGCTGAGCAAAGGCCTCTTATCACACCGAGAAGGTTAGAGCATTAATCACCACGCTTGCTCGATGCGGGTTGGTGATTTCAAACTTATAATTAGAAATTATAAGTCCAGGTTTCCTCACGATGTTTACCTTCCCCGTATGCCGGTGGTGTCTGAATAATCATAGAAAGTACTTATAACTCGGAAAAAGTCACATTGGTACTTGCCAGGTTTCGGACCCACACCCTCATGCATGAAAAGCGGGCTCCTTACCCTTCGGGCCACCACGACAATCAAGGACAAGTATAGGGTGTTGTAATAAAATTGAACAGGTTAATGTTCAGCAACAAACAACGTCTATAAGTTAATGACAATGATTACCTATTGAAGTTTGTTAATCTAGTTAAACTGATAACGTTTTCTAGAATCTAATGAATCAATGACTAATGAAAAATTACATTTCAATAGTCACTGATTCATATTTTACATTTTTGCTCAATGTAAAATATTCCACATAAACCAATAAGTTGGTTCCTTTTCGTAATAAAAAGATTATACTGTTTCTATACACAAAACGAATTACAATATTTAATCTCATCTCCTTTGTCAATACTAATATCAACAGAATCCTGCCTGACGTTCTATCAGGACAACAGCTCAGAAACCCTAATCCTGATGGATCCGAAAAGACGGAATAGTGAACGTTCCCGGAATTATTTTTACAGGTTCTCTCGTCAGGGCGTGTTTGTGTCAAGCATCTAGAAAATAACGTCAAATTGAATTGTCCTAGGTGTGCCGCATGGGGTCACATTGGGTCCCATTGAGGAAATGGAAAAATTCCGCGTGTCACTATACGCTGATATTCGACGTAAAAATCACACTTTTTTTCGGTAACTGTTGTTTTCCTTTTTGGTAAGAAAATTCTTAATAGTAAACAACACTTGCAGTTCTATGGTTTTGTTGATAATTTCTTTGGCAATTTTGTAGAATTTACTGGAAAGACATTAAATGGAGTATGTAAATAAATAAATGATTAAAATCTTCAACTGCTTCTTGTACACTAAAGTGAAAGAGTAACCAGCCTTCTAATATTTACATTACCTTTCACATTTACCTAAAGTCTTTGGCATCTACACATAAGAAACGTTGTACCAGAGGTTATTCATAAGTGCAAAACGTCAGTAAAATAATAATAACAAAACAAAAAAAACAGTTAACTTAAATTAAAATTAACAAACAGAAAAAAAATAAAAATAAAACTTACATGAAACCATGGCGATAATTTAAAGAAACTTGTGCCAAATAAAAAAAACAGTTCAGCTACACATCCAGCTCCTGTAAAGAAAAACAAAAAAGAAAATTAACATAAAATAAAATAAATAGAAAATAAAATTAAAAGAAAACAGTCTGCATAAAGGTACATTAGGGTTGAACTGTTGAACCATTACATTCGCTGTGCAAATGTAAAATTCTAATCAAAGAAAAACAACAACAAACATTGCTTTTTTAAACTTAATTAATGCTATGGATTCGTTCAACGTTTAATCACACAGACAATCTCCATTTAAACGTTCAGTTAAAACGTAAACAACTCAAACGAAAATATCAACAGACATGATTCACAAATGACTTTCATGTTGCCACATATTAAAACGCAATGTAAAATGATACCTGATACAATATTACAAAGTATAGTTTCATTTGCACCACTTCAAACAGCATATTGCGGTAATCCAAGCTTTTTAACTAACAAGCCACATGAGTAACAAAATAGCCGTTACATTTTCCCCGTTCTATATTTAAAATCCTTTTATCTCGCGCGTCGTCGCCAGTTGCGTCCGGATGCCGTATCGTGGTCACGGAATAAAAAAAAAAAGAAAATGCACCCTGCGGTCGATGCCACATGCGACGCAGTTTCTGACAAACGCCTAGAGCAGCTTAATCGCTTTATCGTGTTAGCCCTGTGTATGCGTACAAGAAGTAAAAAAGCGCTTTATGTTACCGGGGAAAATTTACAATTTCCGTACCAAAGAATGTTTACTGAATATTTGTAGAAAATTTTAATATAACCAGTGTAAACAATACGCGTACCTAGACATCCATGTGTTCTATTTCAATTCTATTTTTATCTTATTCTTGTTTATTTGTGAAATGGGACTGGAAGCTCACATTTCAATTGACAAACGTGCCACTCATCCTCCATGTATGGATTCGGATTCACACTAGACAGGTTTTCGATTTAATCGAGTAAATAAGGGAATCGATATTAAATACGAACTGATGGCACGTGGATCGTGTAGGTTTGCTCAGACAGGAATAGGTATAAATTCTGTTTTGTTTGTCCACGCACAGCACACACCTCGGTACATAATATATGTGTTTGGTTAAAGGATAACCTCGCACAAAACACAATACCTAAGTAAATAAAGTTCTAAATATACTATAATTTATATCCTTCAAATTACCTGAATGTTATTTATATTAGCGAGCCCGCCCCAGTTTCGAATGCAATGCTGATACTAAATTCCTCCACTATTTAATGGATGTTATATTTTAATATATAAACCTTCCCCTTTTATCAATCTATCTGTTAAAAAACCGCATCTAAATCCGATACGTAGATTTGAAGATTTAAGCATACATAGGGATATAGGGACAGAGCAACCAACTTTGTTTTATAGGTACTACTACTATGTAGTGATTGGACAATTCTATGGAGAAGATACTTGTATAACCATGTTTTTTTTTCGTCTCATGTTTATACACTTGTTTTTTTTGTGTGTGTTATGTGCTTCCTAGTCGCGAACAAATACTTTTTCTTTCTTCTTTCATGCTCTAAACTGAAAACTGCCAATAAAAACTGATTGACCTAAAAAACAAATCGAATGATTCGTATCTAAAAATACGAAGAAAAATACTCGAGGAGCCCACGCCATTTCATCGGAAACATTTAAATACATTAGCGAACTTCAGATTGATTTATAAGTTTAAATCCTTTCTTTTGCAACGCAGACTCATGTTTCACGGGATTATATGTGTTATGCCGAAGATATAAAACTTATAATGCGATGCTAAATCATTCATCTGAAGTGTCTTACCACGAAATTTTATCTTCAGGCCAAAAAAACTAAGATGCTTCAAAATTAATGTTTTATTTATAGATTGGGACAGAATTGAAAGTAAAATTGATGGAACATGATATAATAAAATATGTTATTAAAATAGAATTATATATGCATAATTTTCCTCCAGCAAATATATAAATAAATACACTACTAAAAAGGAGTATAATTACGCGGGTACTAACGCGAAAAATAATTCTTTAAATACCTTCGAAGGCTTGACGTTTTGACCTGGTTGCACAGGTCGTGGTCGCAAGCAGACTCAATTTTCGCGTTAATACCCCCGTAATTATATGTTTTAATTTAATATGAATAAATACCCCTTTTTGTAAACACGAAACGCGAAAGTTTAAAAGTCAATAAAATAATTACAACATTTACAAAAATCCAAGCTCTTCAAGTATCAATGAAAGACAAACTACAAAGGCGTCTCAGATGACTGGGCAAGACAAAAATGCATAAACACATATACAAACAGACAAATGCACGTTAATTTTATATGAATCATCTGAATGGCCTTTGAGAGATTAGATGTATGAAGCTTTTAAACAAATAATAATGCAGACGATATAATGTGATTTGATAACAAACTTATAGCTAGTGACGATTTTAATTTTGCCTTGATGATATTGGATTTCATACTAAACTATGAAGTAGTACTACATAATGAAGTTCACAAAGAACTGACCCATGGAGGAGGAAACATAATAATTACAATAAAAAATCTGTCGAATTATAACATAGATAGGACTATTGATGACAAAGAAGACAAAAGAGAATCGAAAGGTAGGAAAACTGTCTCAGAAGCTGAAACTAAAGATCGAAAGAATAATCAACGTCATTCAAAAACTTCCCCTTTTTTTCAAAGTCATGGTCAAACCAACAATGGCACCAACGTGGAATTATAAGCATGAGATGACGTAAAAGCGAATAAGCTAGCCAGTCATGTAAAAGGATTCTACTATAACACTCTCAGCCTTCACGGCACCACCACTCACACAAACACACATTTGGTGAGTCACAGACATCGTAACGGTGACTTAATCATTGTTTACACCATCCTTGAATTGGACACACAAGCATCTGCCACTGCGTTCAACTTTATGCTATTTTTGTACGGTTTCATTTGACGTTGGTACAATAAAGATTATTGGGGTCACCGTTTTCCTTGTAAATGTTTTATTGTATATGAAATGAATGAGACAGAAAATAATGTCCTAGCTGTGTATGAGTGACCACAAATCGGATGATTTGTTCGAACACAATAACAAGTTAGGAATAAACTTACTCTATAAGATAGGTACCTACAAACGTAGTGTAACAAAAGAATTTACATACAAGTAACACATCGTAACAAAAAGAAAATTTGCATCAATCGAACCCAGTCGGTTGGCTTCCGACGCAACGTTTGGCGTTACATGAAGGAAATTGATGTGTACCTACTAACATTTGAAGCAGATAAGTATTATTAAAATTTAAGGAATCTATCTACAATTAAGTGTGGGAGAGCCATGCTTCGGCACGAATGGGTCGGCTCGACCGGAGTGATACCACGGCCTCACAGAAGACCGGCGTGAAACAACCTAAGCGTTGTGTTTCGCCGTGTGAGTGAGGTTACCGGAGGCCCAATCCTTCCCCGCCCCCAATCCCTCCTGAATCCCTAAATCTCCAAATCCCTAATCCCTAAAAGGTTAGCAACGCACTCGTAACTCCTCCGTTGCGGGTTTCCATGGGCGGCGCTGATTGCTTACCATCAGGTAATCCGTCTGCTCGTTTGCCGACCAATTACATAAAAAAAAAAAAAAATTACTAGCTATGCAAACATTAACTTCTGAAAAAATTAGTTTGTGACCATTTTTAAAGTTGAGCTATAACTTATTTTGTGAGACGAATAGAATTGTGAAGTATGAAACAAAAACCTGAAAGATTTAAGTTAATAGAATGAGATAAAATCACGTAAACATTATTTCTGATTGAATAATACATTAATAAATAATCAGCATTCGTACCAACATTGCTGTTATGCAGTCGGTTTTGTAATTCATATAATACATAATTTAAATACTTTATAACTCATTATAATGCATGTCTTCATAAACTCATTAGGTGTTATTGTGATATTGAGTATATGTGTGTAGTTTTTAACCTAGCTTTCCCACAACAACATAGGGGATACTACGTTGACACTTTCATCCGAGTGAACGTTAATATAGTTATAGATATAGTTGATAGATCTACAATATACGACAATTACCCTGACTTCACAGTATTTTGACTGCACGGTTGGCGCGGTAGCTGGACAACGTGTCGTGGGTGCGATTCCCGCACGGAACAACTCTTTGTGTGATCTACAAATTGTTGTTTCGGGTCCGGGTACGATATGCATGTGGTAAAGTGTTAAAAAAAGTATACCCTTACTTCCACAAAAAGCCAAATTCAGAGCTTCACATAGAAAAGAAAAGTTCAAATGAACCTATTTCAAAATAAGAATCCAACAAGATAAAAATAGACCACAAACAAGCAATAACCTTGGAAAAACGACGACATTGTGAAAAAAACATACCAAAATGAACCTAACAGAACTAAAAAAGCATTATTACAAGGCAGGAAACTTGACAATGAATAAAAAAGTAAAGACCAATTCGAATTTGGAATACAAAACGTTCAATACGAGGTAGAAACGCCAGCCAGTACTTACTTCAATAAGGTAAAAAGGTACCTGAGGAAATCCCTTCGGCCCATAGACACATAATGTCGGGCCATAGTACAGTACGGTCGAATGAGATCCCATCCAATTACATAGGCATTCTTATTCCTTTGATCACGGCGAATATAGCGCCATTTTGACATATTGTGTACAATGATCCAGGTTCCGAATTGTGGCAACTTGCTATTTACATGAATTGAAATGTTTGGTATGTTAAAAGAAGTTAAAGATCTGTACAAGACGAATCGATATAGGTATTTTAATACATTATTATGACTAGACGTTTAGATAATGTCAGCAACTTCGGGACTAAATCCTTACTTTAAACAGTTTAACTTAACGACAAAAAGATAATATCAACAGTTTCAAAAAAGAAAGAAAATATGAGTGGCAAACGCGATAGCGAAGCGAAAAAGATTAAGCCGGACGCGCTGGCTGACAAAAGCCGAGATTAATTACGCCTGGAAGAAACTGTGCAAAAAATACAAAAAGCGTCACCAATTAAG